TGATTTGCAAAGATTCATTAAAAAACCTTATACTCACTTCTTCTGTTGGTGAAGCTGGATCACGAATGATTTGCGCAAACATAAACGCATTTAGGTAGATCACCTGGAGCGCACTGCCGGACCGCAATCGCGTGCAGTGTGAACACTCTGATCCGTTAACATGGGCGCGGTAAAAAAACGCACCACAGACGGAGTGTGTGAACCTGGCGTTACGTTTGCATGCCCGCCCGGTCTGTTCTGTTCTCGTGCTCCATTTAGGCGCGCTGCATTCTGATTGGTTCGGATAGCATACTGCGGGAGGTTGGGGGTCCGGAAAATCGTGCTATAAAGCAATTTAGAAATCGCGCAAGCTCAAATCGCGATTTTATGACGATTTCGATTAATCGCACAGCCCTAGTCTAAGGTAAGACGCCAGTCCAGTCTGTGCTGAAACACTACTGTCAATCAAACTATCGTGGGAGGGGCCTGTCTGTGTGACGTCACACAGACAGGCATCTGAGATTGGCTCGATTTGAGAAAGGGGTAAAGATTTAACGAGATTAAAAAAAACCACTGGGTGGATTTTATCATTATATGGTGGTTGTGTACACACACTGCTAACACACATTTTAGTTCAAACAACTTGTAAAAGTGCATGTAGCATCCGATGACCCCTTTAAATGCAAAAACGAATCAGAAACAGGAACAAACAAGATGCAATTATGAGACAGAGACACTGTAAGTGACATTCAAATGGCAAAAACACTCCACTGAAAGAAAAGAAAGAGGTATGTCACTCACTATTATGAATTTTGGCGAAAGCACAATTTGCCTTTACTTCGAAGAAAAAAGAAAGCAACAGTGGATACATTAATGCATCAGCAAAAAAGACACACAAAATAAAGATAAATGGATTTTCATCCAAAATAACAGTCATCTCCCTGACCACACACAAAGATATAGAATCCTCTTCCAACACATTATGAGCTTTCGAAGTGTAAAGCAATATTGATGCCAGTTCGTTCCCATCTGGCAGCCCAACACATGCTGTTATGAAAGCTTTTTTTCTTTTAAATCTTCATAATCATTCCTTAAAGTGCTGATCAGCTCAAGATGCAAGCAGAATAGAAGAAAAGACTCTGCTGCGATAGGGTTCAAAGGGTTTTTCTGTACAAAACAAGGTTACATTGTAAATTAGCGCAGTGTTGCAAATGTCAGATGCACAGCAGATGGGGGAGGCATGCGGGTCAGAAACAGAAGAATGATGTTCCTCTGCTGCCAAACCACTAGATGCAAATTAATTTAGGAGTCTGTGTGTTCATGACAGCAGGCTGAAATGCAAAAATCCTTCACTTCCAGGGGAACCGTTTAGTCTGATTAGGTCCTCTGTCTTGACAGTGTCTATTTCAATTAAAACACAACACGACACACTATTGTGTGCATAATAACAGTTGAGCATGTAAATAGTGTTCGTGATCCACCTGCTGCATGATATCATGCTGCTTTGATAAGCAAATTACCAGTCCGTTAAACAAAGCAGTTATTATAGTCTTTGGGTATTTCCCACATCAATGCTCCTATTAACTGCTCAGTACGGACATGTTATTCCTGGTTCAGATGTTTCCTTGTGGAAAATCAAACTTTCTTGGAGCGTCATCAATGACATGCTTCTGCAAATGTGAATGAATGGCATTTTGAATAAAATATAATGAATTTGTCTCTGTGAATTTTGAGATTTACAACAGACATCATAATGATTTCAATTGTGCAACCTGCACAGCCCATGTTATTGCCGTCCTTTTCAAGAAAGTTACCATGGAAACCATTGCCAAAATACCATAGTTACTCCAGTTAGTGTTGCTACAGTAAAACTGTTTACTTGATGAAATACGTGGATAAAAAACTGTGTAAAAATAACATATTTACTAGTTACTATTTTAGCAAAAACTACGGTAATTTTTTATGGATGATGTTCTGAAGAACAACTGGTGAGTTCAGTAAAGTATACAGCATGCATTCTTTTCTTGTCTATAATATCTATGCAAAAAGCAGTATGTCAAATCAGTATACAGTGTCCAAATACACATTATGACACACTATGCAAATATTTGGTGTACTGAGGCATCTTCTGAAGTGAAGCTTCTTGTCTCCTTGTAGGGATCCATCCATGTTACAGGGTTTAAGCTAACCTTGGGTTCTGTGGGAATGGATTTTGTCAGATTCAAAAGTTGAAAAATAAAAAAACACATATTAAAAAAAAAACAAAAAAAAAACAGAGAACTGTGAGCTGGGTGCCTTTTTTTTATTGCAAGAAAGTTGTTCCTCATGGTTACACTGCTGTTGTTTCCTAGTGGTATTTGTAGGCTACTTCATAGGTAATTTAGATTATCTATTTATAGAGCTTTATGAGGTGTTTAATGACTTTAACTTTAATTCAACATTCAATTCGTCAAATAACAAATTCAACTTTTTAAAGAAAGCATAATGTGGTATGTGATGACTCTACTTTGTATTAAAGTTTAAAGTGGAATTTAAATTGACTGTTTTAGGTGGTAGGTCTATTGAATGGTTTTATTGACGCATTCGATGGTTTAGTATTCGATTACTTTGATGTCGTATTTAATCATTTCAATGTTATATTTTTTCGAGTTAACCTACTTGGCACTCTTGGGGACGTTGGGCAGGGTCACGTGACTCAGCTGCTGGACGTTGGCTGGTTCGGCGCTGATCGCCTGGCGTTTGGTGCGCTGATGCTCCTGCAGCTCCGGGCGGCTCTGGACCTGTTGGGTAGCCGGGCGGATCACGGAGCGGTACTTATCCAGTTCGTTCTGCAGTTTCTGAATGAGTTCGTCTTTCTGATCCAATTCGAGCTCCAGTTCGTCAATGAGCGCGTCTCTCTGTCTCAGTTCTTCAATTTTCTCCTGTAGCGCGTACTGGAGGTCGCGTAAAGTCCCCATCATCATCCCTTCTGAACCGAATAAAACCTCCCAGAACTGCACTTTTAGTAACTTTACTGAGAGGACAGAAATACTATGCACTAAACCAGCTTCTATTCTACTCTAAAAATGACCTACAAAACTACAAAAACGAGAAGAACCTTTGGGGGAAACGGTCTCTCAGTGTATCCGTGTAAAAAAAGGAAAAGGAAAGAATCAGCGCTCAATTCCGCAGAAATCCTCACAGCTCTGACAGGAGCGTATCCGTGTGAGGCTGAGCGCGCGTCGCTCGTGGGCAGTGACGTGATGAATGAGTGGAGCTCGAGACTGCACGGAACGCTCGCGCGGGATTCCTGGACAGTCAGGATTGATCAAATGTCATAACTTGCCGTATGTGTCTACACAGATGTTGCCTTTAAAACTAACCCTATCTGAGAATTGTTCGTTGGAATAAAATGTTAGCCCTAGTCACCTCTAAAATTCACTGACATTGCTTAAATAGCTTGATTTATCTCCACTATGGAGAGCTTAGCTGGTAGAGATGCATCATGCTTGAGTTTGAATATACGGATGTTCAGCTCTGCACAGGTGGTAACCGTGCAACTTTTTAGACAAAAACTTTACAATAGTGTAGAACTAAATATCCATAATTTCTCGTTCTTTAGCAGTTTTTCTTGAAATTGGTTTCAAAAACCTAATTAAGAGCTAAGTTAAATTAGAATCCCTAAAACCTGGAGATATGAGGTCATAAAAATCAGAGAAATTCCAAATTTTAACACAAAACTCAACTATAATGAAGGCTTTTCTGGGTTTTAAGACAAGGTCGGGCAAGTTGTCACATAGGCTGTTTTATATGTTGGCATTTGAATAGAATGTATAAAATACCATTTCTCTTGGCCAAAGAATGGTTTGATATTTCTCTGCTATACCACCACAGACACCTTGTTGAAGACCCCTAGTTTTACTGTTTTCAAAAAGCCTATAGGTTATTTAATGGCAGGTTTCCATTGTGACAACTAAAAATAAAGGTTCTTTATTGGAATCTGTGGTCCAAAATATTTATTCTACGGCATCGCTGTGGACATTCACTTTTGTAACCTTTATTTTTAAGAGGTTGTGTTTTATTCTTGGACAGTAATGACTGGAAATGATCAAATGCCATAACTTGCCATATGTCTACACAGATATTGCCTTTAAAACTAAACCTATCTGAGAAATATTCATTCACTGGAATAAAATGTTAGCCCTAGTCACCTCTAATATTCACTGACATAGCTTGATTTATCTCCACTGTGGAGAGCTTAGCCGGTAGAGATGCATCATGCTTGAGTTTGTATTTAAGTTTATAAAAGGACATACGGCGCCCTCTGGTGGCAGACTATGAAAGACACACAGGAACAATAAAAAGATCCGAGGGCTAGTGATTTTTATACTAATAATAATAATAATAATAAAACCTTATTTATATAGCACCTTTCAAACATAAAATGCAACTATTTATAGAGACAAGCAGGACAAACAGAGGTGTTTAACTTCACAGCCCTGCATAAGAACAATGATATCTGTGTATGGATGCTATATAGGGCTATCTATTCTTAATATATAAATTAAGTGATAATAATACTCTCTGAAGAAACAGTGGACTATATCCAAGCACCATTGTGCATCTGATCTGTATGCCTTTTTTGGGCCTGCAATGTTCTCTTTGCAAGCTTTAGCTGATTAATAAACTAAAAACTGGTGAGGACAAAGCTTAAAGAGACACAAAGACAGTATGAGCAGGCGGGCATGAAACAAACCCTCATCTTTGCTATCTGAAACCGCTTGTGAAAAGATCCCAAAGGCCTACAAGAGCACCCAGATGTCTACCATTCATTGGATAGTTAAAGAAGTAAAAAATAACACACAAAGAACAATTCATCTAAACAATGCCTGAAAATAACAAATGAGGAATGCAAGATTCGTTCGTTCTGCTGCTCGTTTCCATCACTTTTTCACTGTCACTGTCCTTGAAAGGACCTCTCTCAGAAAAACAGGCTTTAAATTTCACCTCTATAAACTCTTCCTGCAGGGTTCTTCCTCTGTCGATCGATGGAAAGAGGATCTGTTGTAACATGACTAGTGTGGCTGCCCTTTTCCGCCACAGACTCACATCTGCCGCCATTTTGTCTCTTTGGGACCCTTACAAGTGCATCAGCTCTTTTTTTAGATGACACCAAGATCTCACTTTCAAATCTCGAGGAGACAAAGTCTCTACTATTCCTTAATTAAATAACACCGTTCACTGGGAATTCTCCTCTGAAAATACATGTTAATGTGTTAGTTCACCCAAAAATGAAAATTAGCTCATAAATTACTCACCCTCAATGCATCCTAGGTGTATATTCGTTTTGTTTTGATCTCTCCCCTGCGCTTCCGCGTTCGTCACTTCTGAGCGGCGCATGCGCAACGCCGACCTCACACGTCAGCCGCCCGGAACTGCTTCCGTTTACAACAGTGAACGCACGCTAGATTCAATTGATTATTATGTTTTAAATATGGTTATTTTTCTTACAAAAACACATCGATTCGCTACAGGAGGCCTTTGTTCACCCCCC